ATTGGAAGTATTATGCCTGGTTTACTGGGCTGATATTGACTGGGGAACAAGTAGAATCAGGTATCAAGAGTGGTAAGATTCAGAGGGATGCATATTCAAGTACAATGAAAAAACCCTTCACTGGAAAGAAAGAGGCCAGTGTTGCTTATGGCCAGAGAAATCAAAGCAAAACTGAACACCGTCTGACAGTAGGAGTTGTGATGATCTCCAACCCAGCGTCAAATCAACAACAAAATAATCAGCACAGACAAGATGCACCCAGAAGACAGTTCACCCGGATTAACATGTCCTTATCTCAGGTTTTGCCACACTTTTTGAAGCCTAATCTGGTCATTCTAAAGGAGGCTCCTAAAAATCCAAATACTGCATCTCCCCGCTACAACCCAAATTCTCAATGTGCCTACCATTCCGACAGTCCGGGGCTTGTTACAAACGATTTTTGGGCTCTGAAAACCAAAGTGCAAGATCTTATTTAGGGAAAGGAGATTGAGTTTGATCCTCCTAAGACCCCCAACGTCATAACTGCACCAATGCCCAAGCATGACCCGGGAGTCGGTGCTATTGATGTTGTTTTCGTTACAGAAGATGTTGACAGTAATTGCGACATGGACAATTGGGTCTTCGTAACTATCAACGGTGGAATCAACAATTTGGAGACCAAGGATTTTGTGCCTATTACTTTTATTCAGGAATAATTGTCTTTTTGTTTTTGGGATATGTAATAATTGAACAATTTGAACTCTAAAGCCTTGTGCCTTACCCGAGGCACAATGGTTTATTTGTGAGGGATATTACTTCATCTTCATATGTCATTAATAAATCATTGGACGTTTTGAATAAAAAAATTTATGCTCTGTCTTTCTTTCTTGCTTTTACTTTATCAAAAATAGTTTTGCTCTCTTACACACACCCATGTATCAAACTGCAGATCCACATCCACTCTAGATCCCATTGATAACGGTTCTGCTATTGCCAATTATGACTTTGAAAATCCGATCTACCAAGCTGAGGACGAAGGAGAGGAAGATTGTGAAGTACCAGGAGAACTTTCCATACTGTTACAACATGAGGAAAGAGCAATACAACCTCATGAAGAGCAGGTTGAGACAGTAAACTTGGGTACTGAGGAGAATAATAAGAAAGTCAAAATAGGTACCGATTTAGAGCATAATGTCAAGGAGCGGTTAATATAGATGTTACATGATTATGTGGAGATCTTTGCCTAGTCGTACAAAGACATGTCGTGGCTTGACACTGATATTATGGTTTATCGTCTGCCAACAAAAGAAGATTGCCCTCCAGTGAAGCAAAAGATCTGTCATATGTGACCAGAGATGTCAGAAAAGATCAAGACTGAAGTCATGAAACAGTTTAACACCGGTTTCTTAGTTGTTACTTCTTATCCATAATGGGTTGCTAATGTTGTTCTGGTACCTAAGAAGGACGGTAAAGTACGTATGTGTGTGGATTACAGAGACATGAATAGGGCAAGCCCCAAGGATGGCTTTCCTCTTCTCCATTTTGATGTTCTGGTTGACAACACCTCACAACATAAGTTATTCTCCTTCATGGATGGTTTCTCCAGGTACAATCAGATCAAAATGGCACCTGAAGATATGGAGAAAACAACCTTCGTCACGCAATGAGGCACTTTCTGCTACAAAGTTATGCCATTTGGGTTAAAGAACGCCATGGCAACCTATCAGCGTGCCATGGTAGCTTTGTTTCCTGATATGATCCATCACGAGATATAGGTCTACGTCAACGATATGATATCTAGGTCTCAGAATGAAGAGGAGCACCTTGATGACCTGCAATAGCTGTTTGAAAGGCTGAAGAGGTACAAACTGAGGCTGAACCTGAATAAGTACACTTTTGGAGTAAGATCTAGTAAGTTGTTAGGCTTCGTTGTCAGCGGTAAAGGTATTTAAGTAAACCCTGCAAAGGTTAAAGGTATACAAGAAATGCCAACTCCCTGCACTGAGAAAGAGGTTAGGGGATTCTTGGGACGTCTAAACTACATTGCTAGATTCATTTCCCATCTAACCGCTACTTGTGAGCCAATCTTCAAATTACTAAAGAAAGATCAAGCAGTGAAGTGGAATGATGATTTCCAGACCGCCTTTGAGAAAATCAAGGAATATCTTCAAGAGCCTCCAATTATGATGCATCCAGTTGAAGGGAGACCTCTAATCATGTACTTAACAGTGTTAGAGAACTCAATGGGGTATGTGCTGGGGCAGCATGACGAGTCTGGTCGAAAAGAGAACGCAATATACTACCTTAGCAAAAATTTACCGACTGTGAAACAAGATACTCTCTGCTCGAGAAAACTTGATGCGCTTTGGCATGGGCTGCTCGCCGACTAAGACAGTATATGTTGACTCACACTACCTTGTTGATATCTAAAATTGATCCTATCAAATACATCTTTGAGAAGCCTGCTCTCTTCGGAAGAATAGCAAGATGGAAAAGGATCCTGACCAAATATGACATTTAGTACACAACCCAGAAAGAAATTAAGGGAAGTGTACTAGCTGATCATTTAGCTTAATAGGATGTGGACGACTACCAGTCCATGAATTTTGAGTTCCTGGACAAGAACATCATGTTAGTGACCAATTATGAAGAACCTGGACCAGATGAAGGACCTGAAAAAGGATCTCGATGGGCTATGGTTTTTGACGGAGCTTCTAACGCACTCGGCAATGGCATCGGTGTTGTGATTATATCTCCTAAAGGCTGTCATACTCCTTTCACTGTCAGGCTATGTTTCAATTGTACCAACAATATGGCTGAATATGAAGCATGCATTACGGGTCTAAAAGCTGCTATCGACTTGAGAATTAAATTCTTGAATGTATTCAGAGACTCGGCCCTATTAATCGGTGAAATCAAAGGAGAATGGGATACGAAGCATCCAAATATCATCCCTTATCGAGAGCATGTGTTGACACTAATTCCATACTTTGAAGAAATTACCTTTGAGCATTTTCCACGATAGGAAAATCAACTAGCGGACGCGCTAGCTACTATGTCATCCATGTTTAAGGTCAGGTTGGATAATGAAGCTCCTCAGATCACTATTTAGAGAATGGACGGACCAGCATACTATTATGACGTTGATACTGAAGAAGTAGTGGACAAAAATCTGTCCCACGAATTGAAAACATACCTCGAATCCCAAGAGTATCCCGAGGGAGCTTCCGTCAATGATAAGAAGTTCCTAAGAAGGTTCTCTGCCAAGTTTTTCCTTAGTAATGGAATCCTCTACAAGCGCAATCACGATTCTACTTTGCTTCGTTGTGTGGATAAAAGTGAAATAGAGAAGATTATGGAAGACATGCACGAAGGCACCCTTGGAACCCATTCTAGTGGGCACACAATGGCTAAGAAGATCCTGAGGGCAGGATACTACTGGTCCACTATGGAAGCATACTATTATCAGCATTCCTGAACTTGTCACAAATGCAAGATCTACGCTAATAAAGTACATGTACCTCTAATTCCCTTGAACGTCTTAACTACTCCCTGGCCTTTCGCAATGTGGGGAATCAACATGATTGAGGATATTAGACCTATAACTTCTAATGGGCACCGCTTCATTCTCATCGCCATTAGTTACTTCACAAAGTGGGTCGAGGAAGCCTCTTTTGATTCTGTTACCAAGAACATTGTGGCTCGGTTCATCAGACATAACCTTATCTATCGGTATGGTATTCCTGAAAGAATCATTAGGATAATGGTACCAATCTAAATAATACTATGATCACCGAGCTCTACACACAATTCAAGATTCAGCATCATAACTCTTCTCCTTACCAGCCGAAGATGAATGGTGTTGTAGATGCTACTAATAAAAACATCAAGAAGATCATACAGAAGATGACAATGACATACAAATACTGGAATGAGATGTTAGGCATGACTTTTAAAGCACTGCCTAAAGTGTGGCTTAGGCAGCGCTTTTTCTTAACTTTAGGCAGCGGTTTTTTATAAAGCGATGCCTAATGTATATAATTTTAAATTTTAAAATTTATCGGGACATATAGAACGCTTTGGTACATAAGCGTTGTCTAAAGTGTGCTGCCTAAAAACAGTTTTGGCATAGTGTTTCAATCCTTATAAGATATCCTTCAACCATGCAGTCCATTCCTTGTACATCCTAAGGATCCCTCTCATTTCGATATGGCGACCACTCCCTGCCACATTGGTTTTTTACATCTCTAGTTTTTCGTTTTTAAAAAGAAAAATATCCTCTACTAAAAATTGGTACATATTAAAATATATTATTTATTTATTTATTTATTTCATGAATCCCTAACAACCTTAGTGTGAACATTATTAATATGGGAAGGGTGACATATGTACTATTTTTAATTTGGTGAAGTTCTTCTTTGGGTTTTTTTTTAATATTTCCCTTTTCTTTGTGATAAATAAAGTTCGGCGACGGCTCTTGTTTTTTGCCGGTTGTTCAGTTATTTACTCTTTTGGGCTTTTTAACACTTAGACTCAATCAGTTCCTCATGAGGCCTCTCTTCTAGTCGACCGCGTCTACAAACCCAAATTAAATTTTTATGAAACCTCTTTCGATCGACAATTTCTGTAGTGGTCGACTTCCTATAATAAAAAAACTTCAAAAAATCCTTTTTGTTTTTGGTTGAATTCTGACCCATTTGTAAAAATCCTAGTCAAGAGTGACATACAAAAAAAAAAAGTTGATTAAAAGAATAGAAAAGTGTATGCATACTTTATTTCGAAGTATTTAGAATGCACATCTAAGCACTTGTCATTTTTAGAATATTACATGAGTTATTCATATACTTGGTTATTATCTAGACGTGTTGTTTAATACTACTAGTTTATGTTGCATAGCGATAAAAGAGCATTTAATTAAGAAGACTAATAAATAAAAGCTTGATTAAAAATAGGACTCATAGGCTTATAAAAGGGCATCAGAAGTTAGTCATTCCAACCACCACCAACCAACTAAAGTCACAATGACAGAACCGGATATCAAAGCCGTTGTGAAGCCTACCATTTTCCGAGAGTACATTGTTGGAGAAAATATAAATGGTTTTCCATCTGAGATCATTGGCGACATCCCAAAATTCCATTTCATTCTGGGATTTGCCAATGACACTTATGATGATGGAGCAGGTACAGGATTCTTCAAGCGCGCTTGGAACTTTGATGACTTTAGCCCAACAAAAGTGGCGAATCTCAAGAAAGAGCATAAGAACGTGAATGTGGTAATAAGCATAGGAGGCATAGGTGCTGAATTTCCATTCAACCCTAAGGATATCACTAGTTGGACTGACAATGCCGTATCATCAATCAAAGAGCTCATCCAAGACTACGAGAATCGTCTTCAACCGATCAACAACGACGATACCATAATTGATGGTATTGATATTAATTATGAATACATCAATATCAATTTAAGCGAGCCGACTCAATTTAGCACTTGCATAGGGCAAGTCATACAACGCCTCAGGGATGATCCCGATGTTTCCAAATCCATGAAGGTGGTGTCCATTTCTCCCACAGAGCTTGTCAACTTCCACTACCTCGCATTGTACACTAACAAGCCAGACAATATTGATTGGATTAACTACAAGTTCTACAATCAGTATTTTCGCTCAGAATATGAATTTATAAACTTCTTTAATAATCTAGTTAATGATTATGGTACGGCGCTTAAAATCTTGGCAGGATTCAACAGTGATACAAGTACTCCAACTCCAACGAGTCAACAAGCCTGTATTGATGGATGCAGAATCCTGATTGAACGTGCATTACTTGCAGGAGTTTTTGTTTGGAATGCTAATGCCTCAGCCCCCACATATTCTCTAGAGGCAGAGCTTCAAAAGCTCTACACTAAAGAGTGACTACTTACTAGCTTCCTACCCAGCTAGTACTTTGTGTTTATTTCACGGGTCATACATACTATAATTAATAGCAGGGCCTTATGAGTCATGCTATGTATAGTATGTCACATAATCTAAATAAGACCTCTGATCATTGTGTGCTCTTTTTAATGCTTATGTGTTTCTTTCTTTAATTATTATGTCTTTGTTGTACGACTTGAATTGCTTCTTTTGTATGTGTCATGAACTATCTGTACTATGTACTGAGTTACCAAGAAGAAGCAAATAGTATTGTTTTCATTTCTCTTAACTCAGCTTCATATTTCACCCTTTATACTCAAGTTTCGATTAGTTTTAAAAAAATGTATACACAACATCTACCATGAAATACAACACTGTTTTAACAACACTTATATCTAAAAAGCGATGTTAAAAACACATAGCTCTTAGATGAATAAGAGCATTATCAAATGTATTAACTAAATTGTTAAAACACTTTGAAACTTTCAATTATCTTGTTAAAAAGCTAAGAGTTAGAAGATTATTTGACAAATAAACATATGACACTATGACAAATTCTTGTAGCCAAGGAATCGATTATCAATGTTGAACTTCATCTTAATTAACTAGCATAACTGAATCCTTAGTTTTATTGTTACACCTTGAAACAATAATCCATAAATAGAAAACTAGTTACATATACAAAACCATAATCCCTACTTTTATTTTTTCCAAGAAATAGTAGCTACTTAACAATGAGGGCCATCTGCATCAAAAATAACATGAACATGCGGCATATGAGCATATTTGTTTAAATTATGAGACTATAACTTTTTTTCAATTAGCCATTCAAACCAGGGTGCACAAACAACACATATCTTTGCTTGTGCAACAAGCTCATTAGCCAAATATATTTTTGTTGGTTGCCTTGGTCAAGATTTCATTTTCGTTTCCCAATATAAATTTACTGGTTTGCTTTCAAGTTGCATTGAATCTGATAGAGTCACTGATGACTCAACACTAAATGGCTTAAAAAATAACATCATATGAATTATTGTTCTTGCAAGAATAAGCCTTTTATAGCAGTTATCACCTAGCCACTAGTATATAAATTGTCTTTTATCAATGTTAAGGAGAAAAAAATATTAATAATAATAATAAAAATACTAATGATAATAATAATAATAATCATAATGATAATACTAATAATAATAATAATAATAATACTAATAATAATACTACTAATAATAATAATACTAATAATACTAATAATAATAATAATAATAATAGTAATAATAATAATAATAATAATAATACTAATAATAATAATAATAGTAATAATAAAAATAATAATAATAATAATAATAATAATAATAATAAAAATAATAATAATAATAATAATAATAATACTTATAATACTAATAATAATACTAATAATAATACTCATACTAATACTAATAATAATAATAATAATAATAATAATAATAATAATACTAATAATAATACTTAATAATAATAATAATAATAATAATAATAATAATAATAATAATAATAATACTAATAATACTAATAATAATAATAATAATACTAATAATACTAATAATAATAATAATAATAACAATAATAATAATAATACTAATAATAATAATAATAATAATAATACTAATAATAATAGTTAATAATAATAATAATAATAATAATAATAATAATAATAATAATAATAATAATACTAATAATAATAATCATAATAATAATAATAATAATAATAATAATAATAATTATAATAATAATACTTAATAATAATAATAATAATAATAATAATAATAATAATACTAATAATAATAATAATAATAATAATAATAATAATAATACTAATAAAAATACTAATAATACTAATAATGCTAATAATAATAATATTAATAATAATAATAAAAATACTAATGATAATAATAATAATCATAATGATAATACTAATAATAATAATAATAATACTAATAATAATAATACTAATAATACTAATAATAATAATAATAATAATAATAATCATAATAATAATAATAATAATAATAATAATAATAACAATAATAATAATAATAATAATAATAATAATACTAATAATAATAATAATAATAATAATAATAATAATAATAATACTAATAAAAATACTAATAATACTAATAATGCTAATAATAATAATATTAATAATAATAATAAAAATACTAATGATAATAATAATAATCATAATGACAATACTAATAATAATAATAATAATACTAATAATAATACTACTAATAATAATAATACTAATAATACTAATAATACTAATAATAATAATACTAATAATAATAATAATAATAATAATAATAATAATAATAATAATAATACTAATAAAAATACTAATAATACTAATAATGCTAATAATAATAATATTAATAATAATAATAAAAATACTAATGATAATAATAATAATCATAATGATAATACTAATAATAATAATAATAATACTAATAATAATACTACTAATAATAATAATACTAATAATACTAATAATAATAATAATAATAATCATAATAATAATAATAATAATAATAATAATAATAATAATAACAATAATAATAATAATAATAATAATAATAATAATAATCATAATAATAATAATAATAATAACAATAATAATAATAATAATAATAATAGTAATAATAATAATAATAATAATAATAATACTAATAATAATAATAATAGTAATAATAATAATAATAATAATAATAATAATAAAAATAATAATAATAATAATAATAATACTTATAATACTAATAATAATACTAATAATAATACTCATACTAATACTAATAATAATAATAATAATAATAATAATAATAATACTAATAATAATACTTAATAAAAATATTAATAATAA